AATCACGAAACTGCGATGGTGAAAACGCGAAAGCACGATGATGAAAACGCGAAAGTACGATGATGAAAATGCGACAGTAAGATACTATGATGATGAAAACGCGATAAACTATCGTGTTTTCACCATCGTACAGTCGCGTTTTCACCATCGTAGTTTCGTGATTTCACGTTTTCATCATCGTACTGTCGAGTATCGCGTTTCAGAACAAACCATTCATAGGCGATGGCCCTAACGGCATTCCGATATCCCGTTAGGGCCATCGCGATAGTGCGATGATAAAAAACGCGATAGTACGATGATGAAAACGCGATAGTACGATGAAGAAACACGACAGTAAGATGGTGGAAACGCAATAGTACGATGATACAATCACGACAGTACGATGATGAAAACGCGAAATCACGAAACTACGATGGGGAAAACGCGACAGTACGATGATGAAAATGCGATAGTACGATGATAAAACGCGAAAGTACGATGATGAAAACACGACAGTACGATGGTGAAAATGCGATAGTACGATGATGAAAACACGACAGTACGATGATGAAAACGTGTTAGTACGATGGTGAAAACACGATAGTACGATGATAAAACACGACAGTACGATGATGAAAACGCGAAATCACGAAACTACAATAGTGAAACCGAGACAGTACGATGGTGAAAACACGATAGTTTATCGCGTTTTCATCATCGTAGTATCGTACTGTCGCGTTTTCATCATCGTACTTTCGTGTTTTCATCATCGTGCTTCCGGGTTTTCACCGTCGTAGTTTCGTGATTTCGCGTTTTCACCATCGTACTATCGACTATCGCGTTTCAGATCAACACAATCATAGGCGATGGCCCTAACGGCATTCCGTAGAAATGACATGTGCCTTTTTCGCATTTATAATTTTCAAAATTTGTTTCCTTTTTTATTATTTTTTAAACTTTTAGACCGTTTAATTTGGGTTTATGTCAGGTAGGTTCGAAGGAGCTGCTTGTCTTGTGCATTGATTCATCCTTCAACAATACCTCCCCTCCAAAGACTATCCCTCTCGCAGCACCTTGACTTTCAATTGTTTTTTCAAGAACGTCCTTTTTTGCAATTTTTACGATATTTTTACATAAATGTCTGTAATCTTCAAAAATTATGAAAAACTCACCTTGTTTATCGTGTCACACGTCTTAGATGAGTGATCACAACGAGGAACGGAAGTTGCTCACAACCGATGGACATTTTTCACTCGTTGTTAGTTAAACGGGCGTGATATTGGAACGTCATTTTTCATTTCTTTTGCGCGCAATATTTGGCATATTTTAACAGATGAATTTATTTAGAAAATTTATTACTGTAAGTCATGTGGAAGCCTATTGGATTTTTTGTTATAACAAAAAATGATATATAGCTTTATATCCAGAATTTACTGTTGATCGGTTAGTGGAGACGGCTAACAAATACTCCCTCTAGCCTCTTTAAACTCTGTTTTATGCTGTATATTACTTCAGAGGTGTATTATTAATAATGTAAATGATTTATGCTCGTTTGAATGTAACAAATACAAGCATTAAGTACTTTTTCTTTTAAGTAAGCTATATCAATTCCATTTGAAACTTACAACAAACAGCGTAGTTTTTTCTAATGGGAGGGTAACAATTCATTTAAAAAGGCTATTATTCGCTGAATTGAATGCATTCACATGGAAACCCTGCAAAACAATGACATACAGAGGCAATCGCTCTATGCTTATTTTTATTTTGAAACGGAATATCATTTTGCAAAAAACACTTCTTTTTAAAGGCTCAAACAAAGAACATGTCAATCTAAATATCACCCTTTTTCCAGACAGTTCATATTTGAACATTTTATTGATGACCGATTTTCTCCAGATTAAAAAAATTGACAAGTCTATTTAAATTGTCTATTTAAGATATTCAGCGTGATAAATGTAAATAGCAGATATGTTTTATTTGACAAATTGTTTCTTTAACACATGATAATTTTGTCCATTATTTTAAGTGTTAACGGTGAAAGATTGATTTATGAGACTGAGTATTTATTAAATCTTACAATTCTTGTGCCATGCAACATACGTTGCTTTGTGTGATTTTAATTTAATTTATAGAATTTTTCTTGAAGAAACATCGCTGTATTTTTTCATGAAGTGAAAACACGTGTCAGAATTTCCACGCGGTTTAAAGTGCCCTTTAGTGTCTTATCTGCGATATGCAAACTTCATAACCTCTGAACCCCTTTTAGAAATGCTATTATAATTAGTTCCGCCATGAGCACACAAGCATTCCCTTCTATGTTTACCATACGCCGCTTTTATGGCATTGCATGTGCGTGTCGCATTTTAGGTTTATAATAACGTTAAGGTTTATTATACCCCCGAAACGAAGTTTTGTGGTATATAGGGGTCACTCGGTGGTCGGTCGGTCGGTTAGTCGGTCGGTCCAGCCGTTCGTTGCATTTTCATTGTCCGGAGCATAACTTGAGGACTAATGGTTGAAATTCAATACAACTTCATACAATAGTCAAGCACATTGAGAGGAAGTGCAGTGCACAAGAACCATAACTCCATCTTGACCAATTACAGAATTATTGCCCTTTGTTACTTTTCCTTGTCAGGAGCATAACTTGAAAACTACCAGTTGGAATTCAAAGCAACTTCATTCAATGGTCAAGCACAATAAGGGAAAGTGCATTGCACAAGAACGATACCTCTATCTAAAGTAATTAAAGAGTTATTGACATTTGTTACTTTTCCATTGCTTTTTTTTTGTCCGGAGCATAACTTAAAGACTAATGGTTGGAATTCAATACAACTTTATACAATGATCAAGAGCATTGATAGGAAGTGCAGTGCACAAGAACCATAACTCCATCTTAACTAATTACAGAGTCATTACCCTTTGATACTTTTCCTTGTCCGGAGCATAACTTGAAAACTACTTGTTGGAATTCAATACAACTTCATACAATCGTCAAGCACATTAAGAGGAAGTGCAGTGCATAAGAAGATTAACATCATTTTGACAAATTACAGAGTTATTGCTTTTGATACATTTCCTTGTCCGGAGCATAACTTACAAAGTACTAGATGTATTCCAAAACAACTTCATACAATGTTCAAGCACAAAAAGTGGAAGTGCAGTGCACAAGAACCATGACTCCGTCTAGAGTAATTAAAGAGTTATTGCCCTTTGATACTTGGAATTCAATACAATTTCATACAATAGTCAAGTATATTGAGAGAAAGCGCAGTGCACAGAAACCATAACCCTTTCTTGATTCATTTAAGAGTTATTGCCCTTTGTTATTTTTTATTGTCTAGTGCATAACTTGAAAATTAATGGTTGAAATTCAAAGAAACTGACAAAGGTCAAGGGCAGTGAGATGGAGAGCAGTGCACAAGAACCATAACTCCATCTTCAGTATTGTCCTTTGTTCCTTTTCCTTCTCGGGTGCATAACTTAAAAACTAATGTTTAGAATTCAATGGAACTTCATTCAATGGTCAAGCGCAGTGAGAGGAAGTGCAGTGCTCAAGAAGCGTAACTCTTTTTGGACTTATTACAGAGTAATTCCAATGGTCAACCATATTGAAAGGAAATGCAACATAAAAGAACCACAACTGTCTTTAATTGCCTACAACCATAACTCTATTTCAGTTCTTTTGCAAGGTATTCTGTTACTAGTAACTTACTCATTTCCGGAGCAGTCTTGCGGGGTATTAATCACATTTAGTGATAGTTCTTGTTTAGGTTTATTTTCTCCATTTCATAATAACGGTCTCAATATTATTGCTTAGTGATGCAATATCTTATCATTCACACCTGTAATAATGTTGAACATACGTATGCAATTAGCATGATTTTACGATAACGCCTTATAATCTCATCTGTGGATGTTTCTTAATTCATAATTTTACCATTTTATGATAATCGCCGTATGAACACATCTGCGGAAGGTTCTTTACTTAAAAGTTTACTATTTGCATGACTGTTTAAATAATGAATTCCGTTTAGCCGGCGGTAGGAATAGTCCAGTCATTCTAGCTCAAAATAGAGCCAAACCTCAAACAAATTGCAACAGAAAATATTTTGAGTGTTTTGAAACCCCAGACCTATATTGTATAACATATCAAAAGTCTAGAAAAATCTAAATTGGAGAATGTTTTCAAAAATTGAGATCAAATATATGGGTATCATTGTATTTATTTTTTTAATTTGAACTCAATGTAATACACACATACAATTTTCCAATCAGTTTTATATATAATATGCATAAAAATATAGCTTAATCTATCCATATAGTAACATAAAGTAATCAAAAAGTTGTTTTTGTTTAAAGAAACTACTTTTACCTTTCTAAAATTTATTAATTAACTTAAGTGGGTGGGGTAATATTATATTTTTACATTGCTGTTGATTAACAATTTATTGAAAGCTCTATGTTATATGATATTAAACAGAAAATACATATTGGTTTACGTACATGTGAAAACTGTCAAATTTCAACGTTTTATGAATTTAATTTACATTCCATCAATATTTAATGCATATATTGAAATATCTATATTAACATTGTACAGCTAGTGGGTGGGGTAATTTTATACAAAATAGAGAAACATTAAGGAAATCTATATTATCTATGATAATAATATTGAGTTTTATATTAACTTGAATACTTTCAAGCACATCTGTTGTGTTTTTTCAGAGTCATTACATAACATCATGACAAAATTGGGTCAAGAGAGGTGACATTGACCTTTTGGAAGGTCAATTTCAAATATTTCATACATTTGAGCATAAAATGTAAAAAAAAAATATTTGCAAATTTTAATTTGTAAAAAAGCTTCGCTAAGCATAAGCACAAGAATGTAATGACTTTTACAAAGCGTCACTCGCTTCTGTAATTTCTGGTCGACCAATCTTTCACTTTTTATCACTAGATGGTAGCACCTGAAATTCTTCTTGTATATCTTTTCCAGTTCTGAAATTAGAGGAGCATAAACATGTTTGATGGTAAAGAGCATCTGTGAACCTGTTCTATCCTTGCTCTCACTGTATCAGACAAACAGTCATTCCTCTGTATACATATATTCAAAACAGTAGGTTCTGGTGTCCTTACTGGCGAAACATCACACTTCCTTGTTTTACCCTTACTTATTAAAGATTGACCACTATATAAACAATATTTTTTGTATGAAAACTTATCAGTCATTGATCTCAATAGTGGCATCAGTGTTTTCTTTTTCTGTCTTAGTGTCTCTTTTAGTGTAATGTTGGTTAAAGTACATCTTTCTACACTCAATGTGAATATATTATTCCGATTCAACTTTTAAACTGTCATTTTATTTCTCACTGGCAGCATTTATTCCCTTGCATTCCTTTTCGTTGCCTTTAACTGTCTTTGTATGATCATTAAACAGCCGTTAACAAATCCGACAGGAGTTCCTCTTGAAAAAAAAAACAATAACTGATATTGTAAGACTTATAAAATCTGTTTTTTACATTATATGGAGGTTGATCCAGAATTACCCAAAATTTGTTTATAATTCTGATAACTTTTTATGTTTTCTTCATTAAATTTATAAATGCGCAAAGATCGATGTTTCTTCTATTTAATTGCCAAATATTATTGATTATAAACATCCAGTACCGTCTCAGGCCTTAAAAAACCCTGGATACGCCACAGCAGCGCAACTCAAAGAACACGACGTTCATTGAAATTTATAATACACCAATTAAAGTGCCCGACACAAAAAGGGATCATGTCCAATATTTGCCGAAGGTTTATGTAAAGCCGGCTAAAATTTCACGTCGTTTGGACATTGTAGTATAATAATTGTGTAATCATTTGTAATTGCAACGTTTATTTATGTAAAAACGTCTTCATTAAGGCGTCGGAAAACGGCACTTTCATAAACATTTGTCAACTGTTTAGACAGCCTACCATAGAAACATCTAATATGATATAAGAAATTCGACACAAGTATTTTGTTAGTCATACATACAAAACTTTTTGAGGGGTAAAGAAGTTTTTTTTACCAGACTGTTGGAGTAATTTTAAAGAGAAATACATATCGTTTGCGGCATAGAAGAATACGCGTGAAGTTAACGTTCTCCGTCGCTGTGGCAATTGAAAAATACAAATATGCTGTCATATGCGGCCTTGCACAATTTTAATGCGATTTAAAAAATGAATTCTAATTGACGATTATGTGCTGTTTTTCATACTTTATTTGTTTTCTTTTACATGCACTTTTTATCTAATTAAATAAAATTAATCATATATTCTATGCCTTCAACTTTAAGATGATCATGTGTATGAATCACAGCAATTAAAGCAACTAGCAGTTCAATAGTCATGGGTTTAGGTTGTTAGTACACTTACAGCGAATGGCATCGGGAGGATTCCCTATATGTAAGAACAATAGAACATCAACCTTTTTTACATAATGTGACAAATCCTATGTTTGCTTATATGGTAGGCATACTGTGTTTAATTATCATATTCTTGTTTCCTTGTAAAGAGGATATATTACGCAGTAATAAAGTGTTTGTTATATGAACTTTGAAGAAATATTATTGAATTTATTGTTTAAATTACGGTTATTGGTAGCTGATTACGTATTGTTTCAGTTATCCCAGAACAGTACGTGTTATTATAAGATGTATTTTTCCTAAAAGGCTTTCCTTTAAATGTTTTAGGTGTATTTATTTGATCAAAGTTGCTGATATGACACACTTTTCTTGCATATCAGACTGGCCGTTAGTATTACCCATGCCGGAAATTTCATCAGGCATAGGGGGTGCCAGATGAGTCGCGTGCTGTACAATGTCACGCTTAAGCTCCAGTCACATTAGAGCTTACGACCAGTGAAGACCAGTTCACGATCACCAGTGACCTCTGGTCGCGGACAATCTTTAAAACGTCTTACGACGGTCATCGGTGATCTTTGACAGTCGCAGGCTATCTTATTTAGGTCCCACGACCAATTTCAGTCGTATAGAGGTTTTTGGGCTTGCACAAATACCTCTTTGCGATCAAACAGGTCGCTAGTGATCTTATAAGGTCTTAGGCTGTCGCACGATGGTCGTTCAGAAGTGCGACAATCTTACGATAGTCTTTACAAATTGCCACTAGTCACTGATAATCTTGACTAGTCTTTAGTAATCGTGTGATGGTCGTACGTAGGTGATCGCATGACAGGTCACGGGTAGTCGTAAGTAATCCCACACAATCTTGAGACCATCGTACGTTTGCTTATGACCTGTCGTGCGATTGTCAATGATGACTAGTCTTACGATAGTCGCAGAAGGAAATTTATACGTGCAAAAAAGGTTTTGGTCGCAGACAATCGCTGATGATCGTCAGTTTTACAAGTCGCCGGTGGTCGCAAGTAATCTTAAGCTCTAGTGTGACTTGGGTTTTAGGATGACGTAATTTTACCGTTATGAATGAAGTTGTAATGTCATACGCTCTTGTACGTAAATAGTTCCGGTTGTAATGGCATAAATTCCCATTGAAAATTAAGATAAAGAATTCAAAATATAATGTTATATCGTAAAATATGCAAGAAAAAATATCTGACATATTTTTGCGGTTCGGATCGGAATATCCGTCCCTCGGTAACCCGCATGTGCGGCAAGCCTCGTTACCGCCCAATGGGCGGGTCACCTCGGGACGGATATTCCGATCCGAACTGCAACATATAACAGATATTATTATTATTTTCTAAGGTTTTAATCTAAAATTATCAATATAAAATACCTACTGGTTAAAGTGTTTGGAAGTAACGTAAAGATAAAGTCACATATTGAGTTTTAAAATGTGACATTTCAATTTTAAGCATTTCTAATGCCCATCCGTGCATGCATTCAAAAATATTTGTACTGATATATTACTATATGGAACTTATGACACACTTTTAAAGTTTGCTTATATGAAAAATATCATTAAAATGATTTTGTGAAACAAATGTCTCAACTATGCATCTTTACCTTTAACTCGTATACATCACAGTGTCCTCAGAACACTTTCAAGATCGGGCATACCCATTGGCTCTTGTGTGTTGATGAAATCTGTAACATAGAAATTACTTCAAGTTTGAAAGGATTAGAATCTTATTTTCATATTTACGTGAAACAAGGTTCTATAGAATACACATATATTTTTAGTGTTACATGTATTTGCTTAAATTTTGATTTTAAAAGTGATAAAATTATACTATAGTCAACTTAGGTGTGCATTCCGAAAGAAATACTAATATATCGCTGTGAATTAATCTTATACACGTAATGCACTTTTTCAAATTCGCGCAGGTGCTATTGTATGCATAAAATATTTTCTTTTAAATTATGGATCAACTGTGCATGTTCACCTTGAACTCATACATATCGCCAATCATGAACCATAACTAGAAATTACGTTTGTTTATTGATACATTTTTCATGTCACCTTTTCATGTATAAATTTCTTCTATGTCTATTAAAAACTGAAAATAATTTCAGATATATTGAATTATGCATACGACGCTCTATTTCCTCCATGTTTAATATTCACTTAAACTAGTAAAAGATAATGTTTGATATTTGTGTTACTCATTTAGTGTACATATAGTTTACTGGATTTTTTTAATTTTCAAAATCAAGCATACATCAATGAAGACTACCTCAAAGCGGTACCCCTGAAATAATAATAACATTACATACATTATATATGTAAAGCAATTTTAAAAAACTATTAAAAAATACAAAAAAAAAACAACCTTGAATACACATTTAACAATAAAACATGATTAAAGTATTCAGAATTTATTTAACGTAATACGTCATAATTAAAGTGATAATGGCGTTCCATAGTTTAAAAATACTGTCGAAATTAACTTGTTTTAAATACACATTTTTAGGCCGTTTTTGAATGTTTACTAAGACAGGAGTTAATCAGAGTTGTAATTTATATAACTTAAACTGTTTTCCATGAAAAGTATAATACAGATCGCTTGAAACACCTGTTGACCTTCAACGGATAAAGAACTGGTAAAACAAGTAATAATTTTCAACAAATACTCATAATAAACTTTCGACCCCACATTAATAATTGCTATTATGATCTGTAATATTTTAAGGAAAATATACCAACCCACTTTACAGTGTACTTTACTGACATTTATTTTGTTTACACTAATTTTGTTGTTGTTGTCGCCATTATGCAGTCGCTATTCTGAGAATCGGAGACGCTTTGTTCGCCTATGGAAGACCGTTGACGTCAGAAAAAAATCACAAAAAATAACGCGATAAAAACCCGTTTTTTTCTATGTTGCGCAACTTAGATTTTGCTAGACTTTTGATATGATTCATGTTACTCCATATACTTTCTATACCAGGTAAAATATTTTCTGTTGCAATTTGTTTGAGGTCGATTTACAGACTGACTGGACTAGAAGCGCGGATAGCAGTTAGCACTTGACAGTACCGTCCATGAACAGACCCATTCAAACCGAGCCTACACAATGTTCAGTTAAGTTTTTTTTGCGCTTTCTTAAGGGATTTTTACTTTCTCTATTCTATTACATTCACTGCGTCAAATTTTATTCTGATTAGTCTATTTTCTAGTCGGATTGTTAAAGCATTCCTATTTGAATACTATAAAATCACCTTTGGGATATGTTGCCTGGTTTTAAAATCTTATATTTGACGTCTTGTCTGTACTATACAGGCTTCACATCTGCGGATGTTTCTAAATTCAAAATTTTACCATTTTCGTGTTATATGTTGAATTCTGCTTAAGCCGGTGCTAGCGGGCGTGGACGGTTACTTGCACTTTCCAGTACCGTTCATGGACAGGCTCAATCAAACCGAGCCTGCAACATTTTACAATTTTCCCGTGTTAGACTTCTTTTTAGGGATTCTGTTTTTCTCTATTTCATAACCCCATGTTTTGGATAAACTCATTACTTTACATGGGGACCATACAACGCTTTTCATGGAATAGAATGGAACGAACCTGATATTGCTGAGCAAAAATTATTTTATCCGTACCAGAAAGTTACGCTCCATGACACGTTTTCTTCCAGAAAAGTCACATCGTAAGACCATTTCAATGTCCTGTTCCATATTTAAGGGGATATTTGAAAATGAATAATGAGTTTTAGCAAGAAGCGGAAGTGATATAATTTGCAGTTTGATAGCATACAGTTTTTAAACATCCTATTTATCTTAAAGCTAGGATTTTAGCCAAAGTCAAACATGTTGGTATCACTGCTTTATAAATATATTTCCGTAAGACACAAAGTATCGATTAGTATTAAGTCAAATAAATACAAAACTATAAAAGTAATACAGAAAAAGAATCCCTACAGAACGCACTGAACGGCAACAATGAAAATGTTGCAAACTGCGGTAATTATGAAAACTTAAATAACACACGTTAGTGCCATTCAACGAAAAGCGGCGTAAGCTACCAAAGTAAAAGAAACAAGAAAACATTGGACGAGGCTTGAAAGTAATTTGCTGTTTTCAAGCTCGAGTAGTCAGCACCAAGTACTACTTTTTTATGGTTGCATGTTTGACTTTGTTTCACAAACTCTACAAACCGTATGATTAACCTCCTCGTGGATGAAAGCAATTTGACAAGCTTCATTTTCATTTACGCTCCGTCATTCTGAATGCTTCCCTACACATATATATCAATAATGCAAGAAAGACTTCAGAAAAAATAACCAATTGTAAAAGTATTTTGTTTGCTTCTCATGTGTTATTTTTTCACGAATGCACAATTCATATAGATATCCCCAGGAATAGCGCACCAAACCATTTCTCATAGGAAAGTACATTGAAGAAGATTAATTTTCTAGATTTGAAGGAAGTTCGATTTATAAGCAAATCTTTACATAAAGTAGTTACAAATTTCTTGTCATATTTATAAAGAGAATAAATAAAAGAAAATATAACACTCGGTACTCATAATATTGGTGATATTAAAAAATATGGAATTTTCAAAACAAATCACATATGTATCTGCAATTGTGATGACCATTACCTGTTTAAACTTTGTGAAAGGAAAAAATCAGACCTCTGCCTTCATCACGCAGGTCCAAACTGTTTCAAATAGACAGTCGTCTGCTACGATAGAATGTGCGTTCAAATTAATGAAGGATGCTTCAAACGCCCATGTCACGAGAATTGCTGAAGGAACAGACTACTGTGAACGACAAACAAAGGCATGGCCTAGTCCAGCGTTCGAGCAAGGATTTGAATACCACAAACTGACAACACTACTTCATAATTATAAGCCACTGGTAAGACAATATCTTCATACATGTTTGTTTACTTTCTTTTACAGCATTTTATTTAATTATCTTGACTCTTGAGGGCATACAAAAATTACATACAAAATTTTGGGGGAAAATCATATATCAACTAAACAGGACGTTTTAAACATGAATTCGTCAAGTTGAAATCGTGAAGTTCAAAGTGTGAATTCGCGCAGTTGAAATCGTGAATTCGGTAAGTTTAAAACGTGAATTCACGAAGTAAAAATTGATAATAATTTCATAAAGAAGAGGTTTTAATGTCCCTATCGGTCTGTACATCTATACTGAAATGAATTCTTACTTGATATTAATCTTGGAAGAGACATGGTTATAAAATAAACCATCGTCATTAGACCTCTTAAAACGGATCAACATAGTCTCATTTCACAAGTTGCTAAATAGGAGATATATCTACTTTAAACAGATATAATGGAATACTAAGCCGCCAGCATTTTCATTATTATGATGACAATGTCGATGACTATGATAATTGTGAAATAGATTGTTGATAATTACGAATAAAATGATGATGACGATGTTATACCTGATTAACTATATATTCATTTTTGTTCACATCGAGGCCTTAAATAATCGTATTACATACATTAAGGACAATAACTTCACAAAACAACAAGCTAAGAAACAGCGAAAATATTACAAGATTAGTAATAAGCAATAGTTTTTTTTATAGTGTTTGTCTGTTTGTACAAATGCGAAATTAAATGATGGAAAACATCAGATAACCAATAACTAGTTCAGTGATTATTTTATTTCTAGCTTGGGGACTTCTACAATGAGGTTGACAGTCATTATCTTGACTCGGAAATAAAAGTTGGAGACCGCTTTATATTTATTATACAAAGGACAGGCATAGGCAGGTATGATGTATTTTCTTTCTATTTCTGTTTTTATTTCTTATATGTTAAACCACTATTTCAGTATAATTTCTTTCCATAAAATTAAAACTTTTTTTTAATTCAAAATAAAAATTTGAATTGTGGCACACTTTCTTATTAAAACCTCATTGTTTTAGATCGCATCTTTATAACTAGGTAACGTTTTGGACTTAATGTTATGTCATCTTAATGAAGTACTGTTTCTCGTATTTTCTTTTAAATGCAGCCTTTACAAGCTCTTTATCCATGTTTTTGTTGGTGTTGTTTCTTGTTTTTATTGTTTGTTGGAGGGGATGTTTTTGTTGGGTTTTTCATGTATAGTTTTTTGTTGTTGTTGCTATTTATTTGTAGTTTTATTTCTTTATTTTTTTATTGGGGTGAAAGATGAAAAAGATGGATTTTACCCAATGTTACCTTTTAACATTCACAAGATAGCGAAATAAAGTTTGTTCATTTCGCCCCCACCCCTTTGGTTCTTGTCGATGCACTTGTTGAACGTCCCTTTCGGCGCTCGTGTGTCCTGTTCCGGTTTCAGTTCGGTGCCTTCTTTGTGCTCTGCTCTTGTGGCTTGAATGTGTCTGGGGATGCGTTGCCTTTGCCTTGTTGTCCTTTGTTCTCATTATTTAATATGAACTAGCATTAGTCATGGCATGCCTTTTTTTTCGAAAATATCGTATTAATAAAAGTCAAATTTTCAGTCTTTTCATGTTCTTATTGAAAAAGATACAGACCACTATTATGACTCCCTAAGTCCACTTCTTTTATAATACAATTTGAGGTCAGAGATGTCAGAGAAGTTGTTGAAATAAGGAAATAATTTTTACCATACAAACATGAGATGTTATATTTCTGATTCCTATAGATCGTTTGGCACGACATTATTGTTGTGCTTGTGGTAATTTAGTTCTTTCTATTTTCTAATTGGGTGGTTCCAGCATTCCATACTTGAATACTGTTTAATCACCCTTAGGATATGTGGCCTGCTTTTTAAATTTGTCTTTTGACGTCTTATCTGTGATATGCAGGCTTCATAACCTCTGATCCCCTTTCAAAATTCCATTTTATTTAGTTCCGTCCATTGTTTTCTCGTTTAGGGCACACGCATTATATTACTCGGGGACCATATGGAGCTCTTCATGGAATGGCACTTACGTGTCACATTGAAGGTTCCATGATAAACGCCATATGAACACATCTGCGGATGTTTCAAAATTCAAAATTGTACAAGTTCATGTTAAATGTTGAATTCTGCTTAAGCTGGTGCTAGGGGACGTGGACGGTAGTTTGCACTTGACAGTACCGTCCATGAACAGGCTCAATCAAACCGAGCCTGTAATATTTGTTATTTTGCCGTGCTGGGCTTTCTTTGGGGATTCTTTTTTTTTCTATTTTATCGCCACATCAGCGTTGTTTGTGCCGTGTGAAGGCTGCAAAAAGTCGCCCCGTTCATTCAATCAGAGATGTTATATTTCCGATTTCTAAAGATCGTTCGGCACGACATTATTGTTGTGCTTGTGGTAATTTAGTTCTTTCTAATTGGCTATTTTCTAATTGGGTGGTTCCAGTATTCCACACTTGAATACTGTTTAATCACCCTTAGGATATGTGGCCTGCTTTTTAAATTTGTCTTTTGACGTCTAATCTGTGATATGCAGGCTTCATAACCTCTGACCCCCTTTCAAAACTCCGTTTTATTTAGTTCCGTCCATTGTTTTCTCGTTTAGGGCACACTCAGTTTTTTTTATTTTGGGACCATATGCCGCTTTTAATGGAATGGCACTTACATGTCACATTGAAGGTTCCATGATATACGCCATATGAACAAATCTGCTGATGTTTCAAAATTGTACCAGTTCATGTTAAATGATGAATTCTGCTTAAGCTGTTGCTAGGGGGCGTGGACGGTAGTTTGCACTTGACAGTACCGTCCATGAACAGGCTCAATCAAACCGAGCTTGCAACATTTGTAATTTTGCCGTGCTGGACTTTCTTTAAGGATTCTTATTTTCTCTATTTTACAAGTTAACTTTGTAAATTTAATAACAACATTAAAACTGTTTTATAGAATGTTGATCGATTTCAAAAACGAACAAGAGGCGACAACAATTTTAGAATTCAGCGTCAGACCAGACACATTTAGGATATACAACAGAATTAATGGAACTGGTGGTAAACGAGAAAAGGGCCCACACCCATTCCCTGACTTCAAAACATACAAGCTGGAATTTGAAGTGCAGGAATTGCGTTGGATGGTAATCAGCTTTTATAAAAATAACGTCGTTTGATTATTTTCTCACGTAATAAAAAGTTAATAAAAAAGTTAATATATCCGTATATGTTAATCATTTATATAAGCATGAATTGTCATACTGGTTTATGTCCGTAACAACATAGATTTTACATTCATTTACAACTTGTTTAACTATATGACGTTTTTATAAATATAGAATTTTAAAAGCACATTATGCTTCTGAAACAAACAATTAAAGTGTTGTTTTTTTTTTCTTTAGAAATGGCAGACAAGAGTTTTGTAATGTTTAAATGATCGTTTCAGAGCATTTTACATGCTTAAGTGAAAATAGTATTGTTTTATTTGAGAATAAGTAATGTCACAGCTATTTAATTGCATGCAATATAAGCATTGTCATTGGCGTCACAGCGACATTATCAGTCTTAAAACTTATACAATCCAAATGTGTTTCGACAAAAACAACATAATGGGTTTGCGACCAGCATGGATCCAGACCAGCTTGCGCATCCGTGCAGTCTGATCAGGATTCATGCTGTTCGCCAACAAACCCTATAAGAAGTAGAGAAACTGATAGCGAGCAGCATATATCCTGATAAGACTGCGCGGATGCGCAGGCTGGTCTGGATCCATGCTGGTCGCAAACCCATTATGTTCGTTTTGTCATGACGTGGCTCATATATTATCCAAACTTGCTTCGTGCTTAACACACTTATTGAAGACAGTGATTAAATGGAAGTTTGCATAGCAAATTCAAAGATATGATTGGACAGGAAATGACTACGAATTACCAAACTACTTAACTGTGTTTATTTTATTTACAGATATACGTTGACGACACATATTTCACAAAGTTTGTTCACCGGCATCCCGTCACGTTGATCAGAGAGATCCAAGTCTCTGTTTCGCCGGTTTTCAAGTATCTCTCAAAGGCATTTGACCCAAGGATGTAAGGAAATAAGACTGTTCATGTTGAAAACAAGCATAGTCACTCTGTTACTTTAATCTGGTACAACGTGGGTTTTACGTTTATGTTATGACATAAGAATTATGGGTAACCGGTTTGGTTAAAAGAAGAACATGACCATGCATAGGTTTGAGTGAATGAAAAAGGAACATTTTCGGTATTTTTCTTTTGGGATTCTTATTTTCACTATTTTTCCCAAATTATCTTGAATTCGAAAATTTAGACTTGATATTTTAAAACGCATAGAACAATACCCCTTGTAGCTGAAATGTTGACTATACGCCTAATTCTTGAATAATTCAAACACTTTTTTGGGCGATTGGCGTTATAAGCCAAATTGGTTGAGGTTTAGTTGTGGTTGTATTATAACTGAACTGCAATATTCTGAGCTTGAAATACTATCCTTATTTCTACGTCTCTTTCATTTTCATTATAAGAATCCCGAGCCAGCGACATTTTCAATTTCGTCGTTTTGAACATTCTTTAGAGATTACTTTTTTTTCTTTTATTGTTTGAACAGAGTTTTGTTTTAAAATATTCATAGCAGATTGCAATATTTATAGTTACATAATATAGTCAGTTGTTATTTTAAAGGAAATCACTTGATTAAAGATATTCGCAAAAGTGATAACTCACGATATCTTTTGACAGGTTCACTTAAGGATGGCATTTATATGAATCAACATAAGTATCATACATAATGCTAACTAACATATAAAAAAATGTCAGAACCTACAAGCATTAGAGTATTCTCTCTATAATCAAGAAAGATACTTTTGATTTGCATTATGTATAGTCATATAAACGGGTAATTAATGCTCTTCAGCGGAATATGCAGGTGATATCTTATACAAAGTGCTAGTTAGTCGTATTTTTAAGTATAATTTATTTTTCATTTATACTTCAATTTGCGTTATAGCCACTTATCCATGATCGATAACAGCTGTAAATAAGGTTTAATAATAAAATGTGGAAAAGGAGAATAATAACTAATGGCATAACGAACTGAAGTATTTTCATATTTTGTTTTGTCTGGTTACAAGGAAGCACTTGATAAAGAAAACTGAAACAAATCATACCCTAAGAGTCAACACATGTATCGGATACCCTTAAGTACAAATATTCAACACATATATCGGAATAACTTAGAATAATCATTTTATGTTTTGCAGTCACTACTGTTTAGAACAAAACAAAACTCCAAAGAAATGGATTTTTGCATAAGCATAGTGTACAACCTTTTTCTTCATTTAATTCCCTATATACATTAAACACACACTAAATTTGAACTGTTTTAAATGGCAATATTTTAGTGAGAATGAAAAGAATTGGAATACATATGTTAAACATCAGACAATGTTCAACTGCATTTTGTTTTGTATTTGTTTTGTATTTACAATTGACAAACATTACACCATTTTGCATAATGCAAAGTTTTCTGTATGCCAGCTTTTTCGCATGCTTCTTTTTCTTGAAAGCTTTCGAGGACGTTTTCGAGAGTTTTCATATAAACATTTAGACAAAATTAATTTTTTTCAATATAAAAGACATTAATTATGATAGTTACACGTATTTGTATCTGTTATGAAATCGTTTTGATATATGTAAAATTTAGAAATATTCATTGATTGCTTTATCATAGTGCTTAACATTGGCATTCAGTTCAAAGGCCAATGCTAATATCACACATTTTTTCTTAATATATTCTCAAGGGATTCTGTGTCACTTATAAATCCGGAATAACTTGTCTGTAAGGTTTGCAAAGACGACATTTGAAACTGTCAGGACTAGAATAGTAATGTCTGAACGTTCTCGAATAATTGAGATAAATTACCAAATACAGGAAGCAATGCGAGTTTTAACTGAAACAAAAATGATATATTGAAGCATAGAGAGTTCCAGAAGTCTTGACTTATGCTTGTCTAACTTGAAAAATGTATGTATTTAAAACTGATTTTACACAAGTATCAGCAAACTGTTTAATATTGACAAGCATTGAGTTATTTGAGCAAAATGTTATTGGTAAATGAATAAACATGGCGAAAATTAGATCGCAAATTGCAATAATGTCGTTTAAAAAAAACGTCACTTGGAAGGTGATAATTGCATGTGCTACTGGATATGGGGGTTTGTTTTTTTCTTCCTGTTTTGTTTCTAAAACAATATAGTTATGTTTGTTTTGTACAAATGTTATACCATCAATTACATAAAACTAAAAAATTGCTCACACCAAAGCCGTTGTGTCTTGTTGTGTTTGTCTGTCAGATCACAGATTAAAGCTGAAACACAAATAAGATAAGGTATTCTATACTATTATACAGACATGTATATCGTCAGAAGAGAGTTGCTATTTCATAAGTGATTTTGTAACGTATGCATAGTCATCAGTATAAAGAATTAATGAAGGGATATTGAAACTGATAATACGTTAAATTATAAAACAGGGAGGAGATTATTTTAATTCCAAGCAGAACTGTATAAAAATATATATGCACAGGGCCCGCGTGATTTAAATTGTGCACATCACACGAAAATTATAATTTCGAAAAATTGTTATCACTTGACCCCGAAAGTAAGATGGTGCATGCTATATCTTGTTAATCTATTAAAACATTTTGGTTACAAAATAAGAAGAACCATTCATTTTAGTGCTATAGGTACCGTTATTTTAGCCAGCCACATTTTATAAACTTGTTTCATTAAAAAGCAAACAATGTTTTCAAATCAAACAATCTTTTTCTCAGACAAACAATTTCAGGAAAAATGTATTCTAAGGTCAAAGTGTTTCTTGAAAACTGATTTTTGTTTGGATAAAGAATTAGTTGAAATTAAATTCCCCGTTTTAGAAAATGATAATTTTGACGTGGCGGGCATAGGATATTTATAAACCATACTCTGCTTAAATTAGCAAGCCGTTAATGTTATGTTAATGCAGGATCTGAAAACATTTACTTGGAAATGTTTTATTTAAGTTATACCAGTATAATGTTTCTGAAAGTAGTAAGATCACGCTCTGTACCAATTCCTTTGAATTTTACTATTCACTAGTTAAAACATAGTAACTAATTTTTTTGCTAAATTAAACATTTAATCAGTAGAAAAACTGTAGCTTAATACGACTAAAGTATGTCAAACTTAGTTGACTGGTATGAACATAATAATTAATTAAATAAGCGTCATAAAGATAATGATCAAAAATAACATTTTTTCAAATATATTCCTATCAATAAATGCTGAAAAACAAGTTTTTCTTTCTATCTTTTGTGTCAGTATATGAATAAAATGTTGATAAATTACTTCGTTATCAAATACCTCGTTGACAATTGAATACTTATTACGCTTATTTCACGGGACTGAAGTGATACTGGTCTTTTCTTTGACTCTGAGGAACACGCTTAAAACCTCGCTATGTCCATATCTTTTACTGCTTTAAATGGCCAATTTAAAAATAGAACTAACGCCTTGTAGATTTTTTAAGATTGATTTTTCAATGGATTAAAGTGTAAAGATTCTCTGAAACATCTATATTATTCAATGTTGAAAGCCCCTCAGCGTTCATATGTTAGAAATCATTTACCATTTTAATTATTCTAAGGAACACTCCTCCATTTAGCAATGCAGCTTTGAAAATCTGACAAAAAACAATTTTAAATGTAAGATATTTGTTCAATACCTAATTTCAAACTTTTGGACAATTTCTTTAGAGATAAGACACTTTTTGCAAATTAGACATTAATCAGGAATGTTTCGTCAATAATTTGACTGTAACATTTCCACAAACTGACACAATATATAAATTACAGATTGTACAGAATACAGAACATGTCACTTATATCAACATTAGTGTTTATTAGATCAGAAGACATCGACATTGATCAATTGTAGCTTCAAAAGTAACAAAATATTTATGTTTGATGGCGCCAAGAAGAGCTATTGCAAAAGGACTTATTTTTTATTATACCTGTTGCATTTGCTATAATTGATAGGCTTCCGGGAATGTAGGATGAGAAACTGATTTGCAATAAAAAAAAATTGTTGACAGGAGTAATTAGTATTATACTAACTAATATTAGACCACACACAAACCTGATATAAAATATGTATGGGTGTTGTTGAAAAGTTGAACCGATAACGTATATCTTTATATAGGTAAAAATAAAATTGTTTATCATTTAAATGTTAATAATAATCTCATGAAAAACTTTATCAACATTTCTTTTAAAATAAAGATTTTTATAAAGGTATCCAAATAATACATTTCTTTTGTTCTAATTAATATTTGAATACATATGGAAATATGCTGATTAATTGCTAATCCACTTTTATTTTTGCTTTGACTTGCGATTAAACTTTAAACGACGAAATTATCCCCTTCCTGAGTGTTTGTGAACATTTATGAACAATGAAAGTTGACAAAATGACTTAAAGTAATTTTGTGTTGATCCGGTTTTTTTTTCAAATCATAGTAATCTTATTATTAGGTATTTTAATTTTTATTGTTTTAGATTGGTGAACTCGCAAAAGCTTTAAACAATGAAACAATTAATAATTCATTTAACATAATAATCAAATTAAAGCAATGCCTTTACTTAAAACTTGCCTGTGTTTTACAAAGTTTACGTGTTACATTCACACAGATTGAGTTTGATCACTATTATCGTGTATTCCAATTGTTTGATGGTTAGATAATTTTATAAAATAATGTATTTAAATACATATTGTCATCGGCGACTATTGTAAAATTGTAAAACATTTTTCAACACATTTATGTATAGCTGCTGAAAAATATATTGTTTGAATTTTAAGAAAGTATGCATCAAAGGAAACTGAACGAAAGAAATGTGTTTGTATATTACCGTAAAAGCAAAAGGTGCATTTGTAATTATTACTAACTGGTTAAACCCTACTATGATCTATGTTTAAACAAAGACATTCGATATTACATATGTTACGACTTCTTCGATAATTGACTTCTTCGATAATCGCCAAAAGATTATGGAGTTTATATATAAATTATAAATTTTAAATTTTCAAAAAATATATTTTTTACCCATAATTTTATGTATATAATTATGTCTTTTTACACGCATTCACTCATGTTGACCAAATGCAGACATTGTCGTCATACAAATTATTTCAAGTAAACTCCAAGGTATGATATTCCAAGGTAGTTATTTAAACAGTTTATGCAAAACATATTAATATAGCACAAAACATCATCAACGAAGTTTTCTATAATTCAATAATCTGTAAAGTAATGATCTTGTAGTACATTTTTATGAAGCACTGCATAACTTTTGAGATTTAAAAATCAAAATCAATGATGATTGAATGATGTTTAAAACAAAAAACGATGACTGCATTATTAACTTTACATTGATATGTAACAGATGTTAATGTTAAAAAAAATCAAATGTAAATATTTACATTGTTGTGTC